CACATATATATATATATATATATATATATATATATATATATACATACATAAAATTGCACATGCAAATTGCATGGGTATATTTAATCGTGTCTCTATCAAAGAAAAAAATAATTATAATAACAATATTATAAATAAATATTATATTGTATTATATAATAATAATAATATTAGAAATATACATGTTATATTTCTGACTCTTAGACGTAAAAAATTTTGACTTTTCACGCAGGCTTCGTTTAAAAATGCAATCTCGACAGTACAGAGAGAGAGAGCAAATAGACGTTTCGGTTTTTCGTTCGCGAGCGCAAGTACTTTTGGTGAAGCCGGTCGGATATTTGATTTGCAAGCTACACAAGGCGGCGTAAATCTTTTAAGCTGAAATCAACTCACAGCGGTAACTGTCATTAGTCGTCGTCCCTCCGAACGTTTCGTCCGAGCTCTGCGTTTTCACCGAGATTTCGAGCTCTGGCCACCGCCGCCACCACCGCCGCCGCCGCCGCCGCCGTGGCTGATAAATTCGCTTCTGCCTTAATTTCATTTCGTGCTCACTACGCGAGTAAATTGGAGCGTTCTTTCGCGCGGAACGCGCTCCCGAATTTACGAAAGCTCTCTCGTTAATCAAAATTCGTTTTCCCGGTCGTATCCCCGACAGTCGCGTCCGTCTCCCGCTCCCACAACGACGAATAACATTATTTTCCAACGTATTGTTTATCGCGGATTTTATATTCGACATTTGTTCTGGATATTTTTTTACGTACGATACAGATTAAAATTCTACGTTGATGTTTGACAGCATTTTAACGGAGATGATATAAATTGAATGAAAAGGTAATGGTAAATTGGCTTGATTTATGCACATCGCCGATAATACTTTATTTATTGTAGATTTATCATTTTATTGCTTTCATTTTATACAAATTTTTTCATTTTTTTATATAGAGATTTCTACTTTTTGATAAATTATTTAGACAAATTTTTATAAATTGTATCATATAATTTGTAATGTCAAGCTTCCTTTTGAATTTTAATTACTTTCGTGTAGCCATTTTCAAAATTCTCTAAATTACTAAACCCTTTTTTTTTTTTTTTTTTTGTACATGTTTGCCTTTAGAGAAATCTATCGCAGAGTGCTTGATAAAGCATCACACAAATAACGCGATTGAATAATGACAATAATTTAATTTAATATACATATTTACAATATATCCATCGTTTAATATGGAGCAATCATGATCACGAGCATAGTCAAGAGCCAAGAGCGACGTGGAATCTATTTCGCAGGACAAATAAGCGAAGTTGTCGGCAAGCTGCAGGGCGGATACTCGGCTACATACGAGACGCACGGCAGCCCGAGCTTATTGGTATGCATGAGACAAGCGCATCGGGTCATAGCGCCCCTTTAATACACCCCCGTCGCCCTTTGCCCTCGCCTGTTCTCACCGGTCCACCACCCACGGCGCGCGCGCGCGCGCGCGCGCACACACACACACACACACACACACACACACACACACACACAGGCTGAAAGAGACCGTCGTCGCCCCTTTCGCCCCGCTCTCCATCCCGTGTACTTTGTCACCTCGCTGGTAACTTCGCCAGCTACTTGCTCGGATCGCTATTATCGTCCTTAACCGCGACACCGAGTGGGAAGATGGAGCGTGTACCGGGGGAGAGTGCCTTCGCCTTGGCGCGCAATCACAGCCGCCGGTATTATACCCCAAACGCGGAGACCGAATTGGAATTCAGATTGAAGCGTAAGGGAGAGACGCGCGCCACGGCCGAAGCGATTGCCGCGCCGTTAATGGCATCGAATATTAATACCGGGGTACCGAGATAGCGGCGATACCGTATCCGGGAGAGAAATCGGCCGGAGCTCGCCCAAGCCCATCGGGCGATCAGGATGATCCTAGAATAAGACGATCAGATTTTTAAATTGGAAAACCGCGATCTGGATCTATTTTTGCATCCCTCCTAGCATGACGAGGCGCACGACGCAGGGGTATGCGCGATGGCGGAAAGGTAATATCGATAAGCGATACGCGTATGGGGAACGAGAAAATTATGGGGGGGAGGGGGGACACAACGCGGCTAGTCCCGACGATTCTTGAACCCCGAGGACGATCGATCTAGCGAGGACGCCGTCGCTTCGTCCCCGTCGTTCCGCCGTTGATCGAGACGCGTTCGTAAAAAATGCGACGCGGATAAAAAGTGGAGATGATCGTAAGGAGGTCGGGGTGAGTGTTTGTATGTACGACCCGGCGACCAACCCCGACTCGTTTCATTACGTCGTATCTGTCGTTGGGTCGGCTGAATAGGCGACCGGCGGTAAGAGGTGGCATTTTTCCCAGTCCCCGAGTCACTCCGGTTTTTTACGTAGCATCGGTCATATAACTGGGAAGAAGGAAAAAGAGGCTGAGAGAGAGAGAGAGAGAGAGAGAAATCCGTCTCATCTCCCGCGGGTAACTCATCGCGAATGATCTTACGCGACGCGAAATTGCTAGCGTGTTGTTTGCGAGCGTCCTACTTTTTTTTTAAGAGTCGCCTTCGGGAAAAAGTACGTCTCGATCGAGGAGTCGAGATCGAGGTTTTAAGCGAAACCTCTATCGCTCCATCATGCTCTTCGAGAATATAAATTTAGGAATCTCGTTAGAGCGTAATCGGTTTTTCGAGATCAACGTTTTCGTTTGCATCTGCATACGGCGAGTCTAAATGTTTTCTTGATTTTCCTAAATAATATAACACGGAATAAAACTTTTTTTTTTAATAGTTAAATCTAATTATGTATAAAAAATAATCTCTAATTAAAGAAATGGTTTACATTTATCAATTAAAAAAAGTAAAGTCTTTTTTTTTGTAATTGCAATGTATATATAAATTATTTTCGTTTATTTCTAAAATTTATTTAAAATTTTCCTTTTATTTTAATTCCACGACGTTATCAGATAGAACGTTAGATTTTATTGTTTTTCATATTTTGTTATATTCTGCGCAAGATGTAGAAACACAAAGAAAATATGCTGCAGAGA